ACAAAAATAGGCACTTATGATTCGCTAAACAGTTACCATTGCCGTAACATATTTTGGTCCTTCGAGCCGGATGTATAGATACATAGTCCGAATACAGTGCAATTTAAGGGAGAGTTATAAGTGTTATCATTTCTAATCTTCAACTACGTCACAATGAGGATCTCTCACATCCAAGGTCGCCTTGAACAGCAACATTCTTTAAGCACGCTCATTGTTCGATCTTTAGAAAGCTTCACTCAAATTCCAACAATTGAACTCACATCTCGTGTGATTAATGCACGTTTAACGTCACTCACCGATAATGGGACAAATTCTCAATAATTCATGATGCTATTGTGATATCAATCAATCAGCTTAGCCCTTCTGAACAAGAACTCATACGAAATCATCCTTACTTTACTGACAATATCCACTCTACGACTTACGAACGTTATTTAGAGTGTGTTGACAGAATGAACGCTCATCTTGATTCAGAGGAACAATTGAAAGAAGGTACGTCTTCGACTCAATCTCTGTCTCAATCCACAGCAAATCAATTATCAGTCTCACATCACACAAGATTACCTCGGATCGATCTTCCTAAATTTAACGTGCTCCATCCGAGTGGCTGTCGTTTAAGGATTTATTCTCATCAATCATCATCAGAAATATTACGCTCAGTTCTGTAGAAAAACTGCAATATCTAAAGGCCAGCTTGACAGGAACTGCCTCTCATTTACTGAAGAATACGTCATTAACAGCAGACAACTTTCAAAGGCCTGGGACGATCTTATCTCCTTCTATGAAAACAAACGCCTCTTAGTCAACGCTGCCATACAAGCATTACTATCGTTGAGAAGAATGACAAGGGAATCAGCAACGGATCTTGAATACTTATATACCAATCTCATGCAAATCTTCCGAACGTTAGAGACGTTACAACGACCTGTGGACAAATGGGATGATTTCCTTGTATTTTTAGCAGTGCAACGCCTAGACTCTGACTCTGTTAAGGCGTGGGAACAACATCTAGGCTCTGCCAAGGAACCGCCTACGTGGAAACAGTTTTGTGAATTTTTAGTCACACGATTACTCTCCTTGCAAGCCTTTGAAAAATCTCGCGGTATCAAGGTTACAACGAAAGCGCAACAAAACACCTTTAAATCACATTTTCAAGCTAAAAATTCAGACATCGGTGACACGTCTTCTTCTTCGTGTATTATATGTTCTTCCAAGCACTATCTCGCTAAATGTCCACAGTATATATCAAAGACCACTCAACAACGCTACTCAATCCTCACAAAGCACGGGCGCTGTTACAACTGTTTGGGAGCTCATCGAGTGTCAGACTGTCATTCAACTAAACGGTGCATAAAGTGTGGTCGAAAACATCATACCACTATTCATAAACAACCCAGTTTAGATAAACAGGTTGACTCAACAAAAGCGACCACACCACAGGAGACTGTAACAAAATCTAGTTCTTCTCAGGTCTTACATTTGAATATTAATTCAACTCATGCTACCTCATGTGTGTTGCTAGCAACAGCTCAGGTTGTCATCATCAACCAGAAAGGAAGTACCTTACAGATCAGAGCATTGATTGATCAAGGCTCGGAAATTACGTTAATAACCGAAAGAGTAGCCCAGAATTTAAAGCTTTCTAGGTCACATTCATGGATTCCCTTGGTAGAGTTGGAGGACACTCGTCTTGTAAAACCCGTGGCGTCACATTCGTTCAAGATTGCTGCTATTTATGAGAACTCGGAAACACTTGAAGTATCCGCACATATTCTACCCAAGCTTACCAACTCAATTCCTTCAGTGTCAATTGATATGCATCAATGGCAACATCTTATTGGATTAACTCTGGCAGATCCTCACTTTCTACAACCATTAGCTGTTGATATGATAATTGGAGCTGATGTATACCACCAGATCATCCGTGAGGGGTTAAAGAAAGGACCTATTGACTCTCCTATCGCACAGCTTACTGCCTTTGGGTGGATTATCTCTGGCCCGACCTCGGCGAATCGAACATCACTATTGACCAATAGTTACCATGCCTCTATGGATCAACAATTGTTTGATGTTCTCCGTAAGTTTTGGGAACAACAGGAGGTATGTATTAACAAGAGTTCCTCCCTATCCCCGGAAGAGCAAGCCTGCGAGAAACACTTTCAAGACACACACTCAAGAGACCCACAAGGTCGTTACGTGGTAAGCTTACCGTTTAAGAGGTCTGCTAAAGAGTTAGGTCCGCTAAATTCACGACACAAAGCAGCACGTATGTTGACATCTCTATGGAATAAATTTAACTCAGATACAATTTATGCTCAAGCTTATTCAAAATTCATGACTGAATATAAAGATCTACATCACATGAGGTTGATAGACGATATTCAACCTGAACCTCAACCCAACTTTTACTTACCTCATCACGGCGTATGGAAAGAAAACAGTACGACTACTAAGCTTAGAGTTGTCTTTAATGGATCTAGCCGTACAACTTCAAGACTTTCGCTCAATGACATTCTTCACACCGGTCCTAAATTGCAACTCGAATTACTAGATGTACTTATCTGGTTTAGACAGTTTCGATATGTTTTCTCGGCAGATATCGAAAAGATGTATCGCCAGATCAATATCCATCCAAAGGACTGGAAATACCAGCGAGTATTATGGGTCAACGTCTGAAGATCATGTTGATACATACGAATTGACAACGGTAACGTACGGCCTGGCGTGCGCTCCATACTTAGCACTCCGTACAATCCTACAACTGGTGGAAGATGAGAAAATGAATTATCCTCTCGCCATTCCTTGTCTCACTAAGGGCAGATATGTGGACGACGTTTTTGGAGGAGCAGAGTCAATTGAAGCATTGAAAGCACAAGTCGTACAATTAAATCAACTATGCTTGGCAGGCGGATTTCAATTGCAGAAATGGACAAGTAATCTGGATTCAATACTTGATTCACTACCACGAGGTATACGAGATGATGGATCATCCAAGTTCATCGATCGAACCTCTTGTGTTCAAGTTCTTGGATTAAATTGGCATCCACAATCTGATACGTTTCATTTTATCCTCAACCCTCCAACAAGTCATTCCATTACTAAACGAGCTGTATTGTCTCTTATAGCAAAGTTATTCGACCCACTCGGATTATTATCACCTATCATTATCAAGGCTAAAATTCTTATACAAGAATTATGGACTCAAAGGTTAGACTGGGATGATCCGTTACCAACGCAGTTTGCCGACAAATGGGAGACATTTTTAAGCGAATTATCAGACATTAATCTCATTCATATTCCACGATGGATTGGAAGTAAGCCAGAGCAGCAGATCCAGATTCATGGCTTCTGCGATGCTTCTCAGCAGGCATTTGCGGCGTCGGTTTATCTCCGAACAACTAATGCAGAAACAAAATCCACTGCCATGTTGATCGTATCAAAAACTAAAGTCGCACCATTAAAGAGACTGACCATACCAAGATTAGAATTATCTGGTGCAGTATTACTCACTAAATTAGTCTCTCATATTCTATCAGTTTTAGATCTCAAAGGAGTCTCAGTATTTCTCTGGACGGATTCTTCAGTAACGTTAACGTGGATAAATGGATCTGCATCAAAGTGGACAGATTTCGTTCACAACAGAGTAGTCTATATCCAAGAAACTCTACTACAAGCAAGGTGGAGATTTGTATCTGGAAAAGAGAACCCAGCCGATATTGCTACGAGAGGAGTGTCTCCGTCACAGCTGAACAAATTCACATGCTGGTGGGAAGGACCCACGTGGCTGTCTCAATCCCCCGACACTTGGCCTGTTGATTCTGACACCGTTTCGACATCAGACAATTTAGAAGAGCGTCCAGCTCAAATTACCACAGTAACATCAGGTCAGATTTCACATCCGTGGGATTTATTGGCACGATATTCAGATCTCAAGAAGTTGCTACGCATAACAGCTATGTGTATGAGAGCCGCAGAGCGATTTAGACAGTCAGTTTCACTGACAAATCCATTAACTGTTTGTGAGATTGACAAAGCAAGGATGTTTTGGATTAAACATATTCAACAAATATACTTCAAACAGGAAATTAGCGTTCTCTCAGGAGGCGCTACTTTACCCAAGTCCAGTCCATTGACTCGTCTTACACCCTTTTTAGATGCAAATGACCTTCTACGAACAGGGGGACGTCTTCAACATTCAAGTTTACCTGAAGATTCTAAGCACCTACTAATATTACCCAAACAGTCTCTCTTTACTGTTTTAATTATCTCAGATGCACATTTGAAAACCCTACATGGAGGGACGCAAATTACTTTAACACATCTACGACAAAATTATTGGATAGTAGGAGGTCGGATTCCAGTAAAGTCTTTCATCCTTAAATGCATTATCTGCACAAGGTACAGGCAAAAACGAGCACAGCAGATTATGGGCCAACTTCCAGAAAAAAAGAGTCAATCCTACCATACGTCCATTCTTCAATTCTGGTGTTGACTATGCAGGCCCATTTTCTATCAAGACTTGGAAAGGAAAAAATGCACGACAGTACAAAGCCTATATAGCCGTATTTGTGTGCTACTCAACCTCTGCTTCTCACCTTGAATTAGTGACAGATTATTCTTCAGACGCCTTCATTGCGGCGTATAAACGTTTCGCAGCTAGACGCGGTATATGTGCAACACTCTCCAGTGATTGCGGCACCAATTTGATGGGCGCTGATAAAGAGCTACGAAACCTATTTTCGGCCTCTTCGAAAGAGTCAGACAAGTTATTGACCTTACTCGCAAATGATGGCACACAATGGATTTTTAATCCACCAAGCGCTCCCCATTTTGGAGGAAAATGGGAGGCGACAGTCAAATCAGTTAAGCATCATCTCAAACGCATTGTGGGCAATCAGTTACTCACGTACGAAGAGATGACTACGTTGCTATCACAAATCGAGGCAGTTCTCAATTCGAGACCCTTGAGTCCGCTTTCAGATGATCCTGAGGATCTTTCAGCTTTGACACCAGGCCATTTTTTGGTGGGAGGTGCTCCCACAATTATACCTGAACCTATGCTAAACAATGTTAACTGTTCTAGGTTGTCAAGATGGCAGTTACTTAAACAAATGTTGGACACGTTCTGGTCACGTTGGTCGCAGGAATGTCTCCAAAGATTTCATGATGTATCTAAATGGAACAAGCCAGTACCATCTCTGAAAAAAGATTCACTTGTTCTGGTTGTGGATGAACGGTATCCGCCAGCTAAGTGGCCTCTCGGCCGAGTTATAGACGTTCATCCTGGCGCAGATGGGCATGTCAGAGTTGTTACAGTTCGCACTCAGACATCTGTTCTCAAACGTCCTATCGTAAAACTGTGCCCATTACCTATCGAACGAACAGATTCATGAGGAATATTCTTTGACCCCGGTCAACGAAGGCAGGCGGGGAATGTTACGAGATCAGCCCATTCAGATAGAGAGCGCGTCGATCAAACGATCGGATTTTCCATCCGGGACGCCACCGCGCGACACACACGCACAACACCACTCTCCTAGACTGGTGAAGGAGGGAGCAGAGAGGGCCTTCTGGTGGCTTGGGCCTCCTCGGGCTGTGTCGTGGGGCGAGCTGGCTTTTGTTTGTCGTTCTGATAAGACGTGACTTATCACGGTTCTCGTGGGTGCAATTTTGTGCAATACGATTTTTCCCAAAGGTGAGATTCTTCGAATCTCTTGATCGGTTATCAATCCAGCACTGAATTATTAAGGCCGATCATCAATATCAGCAAGTTCTGTTCAAAGGGACAATCAAGAAAGAAAGTCAAGGGAGAGCTCGACTAATCGGCCATCTTTCTGCATGCTAAGACGACTGGACTAAACAACACACTCAATCTCACTTAATTGATCTCTTACAAGTTGGATTATCTATTTTCCATTTATTATATGTAACTCGAATTAAACCAGGTAACTCATAAGTTAATAAGAAATCTGAATAATGATTGTTCCTTAGATTGGCTGTTAGTGAGTAGGTTTTGAGACAAAGACATCGACAACTAAAGTCACGTTTCAACGATATTTATTCATTATTTATTATCTCTACCTAATAAATAGTTACATAACATTGTTCGTCATTTGAATTAACTAACTCTTAACAGTATAAATTGAATATTATTATATGTAAGTTTATATTCCTTTCTTTCCTTTTCTTATTGTCTAATTAATATTAGTAAATAGCTCAAGCCAAAGAACTAAAATATAAGTACAATAATTTCGATATACTGCATGATTTTATTTTATTACCTTGTATGAGAAGAAACCATGTGTATTTTATCTGTATGTGTTTCAGTTATAAGACTCGATTACATTTTCTCCTTTTGTTCACAACCATAAACAAAAATAGGCACTTATGATTCGCTAAACAGTTACCATTGCCGTAACAACATCCAATCTATTTACAATTATATATGGATAACAATAGTTATGGAGACCGGAGTGAAATTTCCACCTAAAAAGTCCAAAAGCAAAATATTTTGCTCTGTTTTCGGCTATAATAGCAAAGCATGTAAAAATCCAGAATTGAGTTTTCATCGCTTTCCTGAAGTCGGCCAAGTAAAAGTCAATCATTTAAATAAATTTGGACAAAGTGAACTGATTGACAGAAGAGTGTTGTGGGAGAGAGCTTTAAAAATAGGCAAAAAAGTGACACAAAATATGCGAGTTTGCTCGCTTCATTTCGTCGAAGATGATTACTCTGTATTTACAGGACCAAGTAAATTGTCACTCGTCTAAAAGCAATTTTTATTATTTTTATATTTTCTATTTAATAATTAAATTTTAATAGTTTTATGCAGATTAATTACATTAAATCTCGATTATTATTTAATCTCAAAATATAATAAACTGTTTATGTGCAATATTTTAAGCTAATATATGTACATTTGACAAACAAAATTTTTATTTAGTTACATAATAATTAACTAAAAAATAAACTTATTTTTAAATTAATATTATTTTTTAGATTACCCAACTAAAGCAAGATTTTTGAAAAAAAGGAGTGTACCATTAATTTACCTCTATTAATTTACCACATTCTAGCATTGGGATTCCTGATATTTCACAAAAGACAATTATTAAAAGGCAAATTCGATTGGAAAATTGTTTGCAAAATATTAAATTAAATGCAAAGGAAAAAGAGACTGAATGTAATTGTTTTCTTACTGTAGAGGGAAATATTACTGCTCAAACTGACACACTCCTTGATGAAGAAATTAATATAGAAAAATCCAGTGATGTTCCTCAGAAAAAAATTTTGATTGATGTTGGAGTGCAAATAAAAAGTGGAGATTTAATTGATACTTGCTTTTTACATTTTTTAAAAACTGATCAAGAATTGAGTACTGCTACTGGAATTCAAAATTTTCAATTGTTTGACAGTATTGTAGCTGCTATTAAAATAGTTGCACCACACTTTAACAAGCACACTAGTGTATTAAATATTCGTGAAAGAGTTTTAATGACTTTTATGAAATTGAAACAGAATTTAAGTTATTCGTTTTTATCTATTTTGTTCCCAACGGTTAGTGTAAGATATTGTTCAGAGATTATTTGTAACATGTTGGATATTTTAGGTGAAGTTTTAGAGCCATGTATTCATTTTCCATTAAGAGATGAAATCTTAAGAAACATGCCATTATGCTTTGCTGACTATCCTGATACTTGCATAATAGACTGCACCGAAATAGAAATACAAAAGCCAAAAAATTTATGTTGTCAAATAACAACTTACTCGACTTACAAAAGGAGATATACTGTAAAGTTTATGACTGGAGTAACACCTGATGGTATAATATCTTTTGTCAGCAGAGCTTACAGAGGCAGAGCATCAGATAAAGCAATCTTTGAACAAAGTCTTTTGTTGCAACGATTAAAGAAGGGTGTGTCAGTTATGGTAGACAGAAGTTTCCTGATAGATGAATTGTGTTGTGACTATGATGTAAAATTGATTAGACCGTCATTTCTTAAAGATAATATTCAGTTTTCTAAAGATAATGCTAAAAAGAATGCAAATATTGCAAGTGCAAGAGTGCACGTTGAAAGACTCAATCAAAGATTAAAAGTATTTGAAATACTGGGCAGTAAAATGTCCTCATGTCTTATACCAAAAAGCGAGAAAATTATGACTATTTTATGTGCAATAGTAAATCTAAACAGTCCCATTTTCAAGAATGATAAATTTCTTAATTTTTCTTAATAAAACTATTATATTTATAGTATACAAATACTAAAATGCAAACAGATTTTGTAAACATAGTTTCTTATAATAAAAATGTTAAAACTTCAAGTTTATAAGTTATATTAAAAATTTTATAAAATGTTTTTATTATCTGTAAGTATAAATTGGTTTTTATATAAAAAAGTTAATTTTATTTTTATCAATCAATTTATTTAGCAATTCCCTCTTTAATACAAATGTGATGCAACATTACATTGTGTAGTAAACATTTTTTAAAGATTTTAACATATAATCTGTAAATTCATGATTAAATTCAACTGTTAGAATAAAGAAACTATTGTCAAAAGACGCGTATATAATAAAGTCGGTTCTTTGTACATTCAAGATTACCATTCCGAGCTGAATCTGTGCAAAATAGTTGGTTTTTTCTTTTAATGTTAAATCTTTATTTAAATAATTAAGGCCCGGTTCCACAATTTTCAGTTTAACCCGAGTTTAGCTAAACGGCCGTCAAAGTTAACGCTTACGTTAAACTGCGTTAAACCTGTATTCCGTTCCACAACTCGTAACCATAGGTTATGTAAACCTATACTCTTTTCATTGAAACTCAGAAACGTGAACTGTGATTGGTTGGCTGAGATTTTGTAAAGAAGAGGGAAAAATGTGACGGTAAAGAGATCAGCTGTCTATTATTGTTGTGCAATAAATAGAAATAGAATTTTGTGCAAGATTAAATATAATTGTGTAATGTCGAATAAAAAAGAATTGTCCGTGAAGGATAATCCTAAAAAACGATTACCAAATTTTTCGACAGACGAAAAAATAACGTTAATTGAAATTATCGAAAAGAAAAAAGACATAATTGAAAACAAACAAACTAATGGTGTAACTATCAAAGAAAAAGAAAAATGTTGGTTAGAGATAAGCCGTGAATTTAATAGCAGATGCATAAAAGCAAACCGAAATGTGATGTCGCTAAAAAGTTGCTGGGATAATTTAAAAAAGAAGACTTGGAAACATTTTGCAGAAATACGTAAAGAAGTTTTCGCAACAGGTATATGTTGTATATAAGCATATTGTCTATAAACATATACAATTATTAATTAATAACGTGTAGGCGGTGGAAAAATCCCTGAAAATAACTATCCCTGATGACCCGATAGCTGAAAAAGTCAAAAGTGTTATTGAACCATCGATCGAAAGTTTAATCCATTTGACAGCGATTGTGTAGCAGGTATATTTATTTTTTATATACTTTGAGAGAATATGATATATAGATAGATTATATACATCGTATAAATATCTTGGCATCTAATTTTCGAAATAGAACCAGAATCTCAAAAATATGAAATAATCGTAAACTTTTTTTATAGGCGGAGATGACATCAATGTGGATGAGGATATAAACGACAATGACGATGTGTATATGGATGTATGTATTGCAAATAGTTTCTGTATTTTAATCTTGGGAGAGGAGTGTTATTTTATGTACTCGCTTATTGATAATGCTTATTGATGTTAGTAAATCGATATTTCATGCGTTTTGATTAAATACATTTCTTTTTTTTAGTATCACTTTATCATTGATGATTGTTAGTCAATATTTTCAAAATGACTTTCTTGATGTTCCAAATATATTACTACACAACAGCAATACTAATTATGATATGTTTATTAATCATAAACACTCAACGAAACAGATGATTTAACGACAAATTGGACTGATTGGACGCCGGCAATGCTACAGTCGGAGAAGAGTACTGAATTACAGGTTCCAACGACGGTTTTATGCGTCGATGAAAGAGATACGAATCTTACATATAGTGAAATAGAGGCAATTATGGGAACATCGTCCAAGGAAAATCAAAATGTAAATCCTGCAAGTTTGAATGTAAAAAAAACTGTAAAACGAGGAAAACAGACAAGAATGCCTGTAAGACGCTGTAAGACGCAATCAATGTTTTTACGATTTAGCTCAATCTAAAGCCGAATTAGTCGAGCTAATGAAAAAGGATCTGCGTGCAAAATCTGAAATAGAAATAAAAATTTTAAACACACAATTGCAAAAAGAACAACTTGAAATTGAACTTTTAAGAAAGCAACTCCAATCATATGAGCAATAAAATGCCTTTATTTTTTTCTTACTAATCTTCCCCAGTAAACACAAAATAACAGTAACATAACATCAATGTTATAATTTCTCACTCAACAATGGAACTATTATGTACAAGGTAAGGTATGTTATATTGCAGTTATATTGTTGTGAGAAATTATATTGATATTATTACTTTTGCTTTGTGTTTACTGGATCCTTACTAATTTTTTCCTTAAAAAATACTTTTCTTATTATATATATATATATATATATATATATATATATATATATATATCTACATAAATATTCTTGGGATGTTGTCTGAATATGAGTTGAAAGATTTGTAGCCATTTTATCCTTCGATCAACTTATGCTGCAAATTTGACTATACATTTTCAGATTACTTCTACAGGAAGTATCAGAGGTTAATTTAAATTTAATTATTATTTATTTTATTAAAATACAATAAAAATGCAAGTATAAAAAATATGAATTATATAATAAATAATATAATAAGAATAAATAATAGAATAAATAATAGAATAAATAATATGATTATAACATGATTTCGTATATGACGTAAGACACAGAAGCAAACACTTTTACATTTTATATTTTAAAAAGAAAAGCCCTCCTTTTTAGACAAATTCTATATAAACATGCACTGCTATATACATAATATTCTTCAACTTTTTTCACAGTAAAGATTATTCTACAGCAAGCTGAAAAATAATATCATATTACTTTTCAATATTACTATATATAAGAAGTACTTACATAAATAATTAAAGATATTTTTATTCTCACCTGCGAAAATAATCATTGATTAGTATGTTCTGCATATGATTATTACCAGATGTATCATTCATAAGTGGTATATTTCCCTTTTCTAAAATTTCTGCCCATGGTACAGGCAACTGTAGCGGATCATCTGGTGGTATCGGATCGCCAGCACGCCGGGCAATGTTATGTAATATGGCAGTTGCCACAATAACTGGCAATACTCTTTGGACTTTAGAAAATCGAGAACCCAATGCTAAAATTGGAAATCGTCTTTTCCATATACCAAACACGCGCTCAATGATATTGCGTGTTCTAATAAGCGACTCATAATAGAGTTCCTGAGCACGAGTTTCTGTATTGCATAGAGGTGTTATTAAATAAGACTGAACTGGATAAGCTCCATCACCTAAGAGCAAGGCATCTCCAAATATTCCAGTCTTAAATAGAGTCATGCACAGATCCTTGCCAACGAGCTACAAGGTTCGTTATTTCCAAATTAGCATTACAAATTGCTTGGACATTAATCGAAAAGTAACCTTTTCGATTTCTGAAGTATTCTGCATCATTTCCACCTGAAAATATTTACAATAATTATTGACACTTCTACAATAGCAAGAAAGTTGTTTATATAAAGTTTGTATAAATTTCACCCAAATATCTATGATATACACAATTTAAAAATTAATTATCAAATGACTGGATTTTCACATGAGTGTCAATACAGCCCACAACTCTCGTAAATCTTGCAATATCAAAGAACTTTATTTGCTCAGATTTTATTTCATCATTAACAGTTGAAAATTTTATAAACCTTGGCCGAAGACGAGTTATAGAATTCGTTACGCAATGGACAATTTTGTGAGCACTCGTTTTGCTAACTCCAGAAAAATCACCTGCCGATATTAAGTGGCTGCCAGTAGCGTAAAATCTTAACGTCAGGAGGAGCTGATTCATGGGAGAAATAGTATTATTCCTAAATAAATTATAGTCATAATAAATAAATAGCAGTCATAAATTATAGTTATGTACAAAATAATTAGTTTTTAATATAAAACTAATTTCTTTGCGTTACTGTGATTATATTTATTACTATTTATATTTTTAGCAATAATAATCAATTATCATTATTTGTTAATGACAGTTTCGTCAATAATACTCACAATTAGTTATAATACTACGAAGTTATTTATTGTTGTGTCGGATGTGAAATTTCGGGTTCAATAGCTTCCAACACTTCAGTAACGCATTCTTTTGATAATCGGAATCGAGCATGAAAATCTACATTGTCCAATTCATTAAAATAATCAGGTCGTCTTCTAATATTGCGTGGTCTTCGATTAATAACATCAGCAAAACCTTCATCATCTAATGACGATAATATTTGTGCAAAAGCCATATTATATATAAACTGATTGTGAAATTTCAATGAATCTTGAGAATACTTTCCGATATATAAGATGCAATACTTCTTTCCTCAATTCAATACGATAATACATAACCTCAAAACAGAATATGTTATATTAAATGCGAAATTTTCAAAACAATTCCAGCGGCGCTATGGTCGTAAACCTCGGTTAAATTGCTTAAACGCTCAGAATCGGGAGTTTATCTTTAACCGAGGCAAGTGAACATTAACGAAAGTTTAAGACAGTTGTGGAACGCCACAAATGCGTTAAACCGAGTTCAGCGAGTTAAACTTCGGTTAACTCGAGTTGTGGAACCGGGCCTAAGAGATTGAACAACTTCTAATATAGTTTTCGTTTTGCCAGCGAATGGACACTTAATTTCTATTAATTTGTTAGGTTTTCCATTCTCATCTAAAATTATACCATCTGGGCTATATCCTAGCCAAGGATTTATTTCTGGTACAACAAGGCCTATTTGTTTAACTGTAATGCCGGTGTAATCTTCATAGACAGTTCTTGCTGATGGTTCATATTTAATGTCGTGCTTTATAGCCGCTGTTTTTTTAAATACTTTTGGGTAAAGATATTGCTGTGATTTTTGCTCCCAATTTGGTGTCTTATTTTTTGTATATGTGTATAAGGCATAATATCTTGAGCCTGTTATTCGAAACTGCCTTTTCTTCTTCCATGATGCTTTATTCTTGAAAGTTTCTTCACAAACTGCTTTAGTGTTTACTTTTAATAAATTTAAAAATCGTACACAATACTCTTTTTCTAGTTGATTTGGAGGAATTCTTGACAAATTTAACATTGAATTTGACGGTTGCACACTTAAAATAGCTTCTAGTTCATTAGTATTAATTATATCTAAAGTATTATTATTCTCTTCTGAGATTACAGGTTCATGTCTTCCAAATCTAATAAATTCATTTAAAAAATAAAGTTACACAGTTGAATTATTCTACACTCTATAAATATTCGGGTAACTTTTTTTACAAAATAAAAATAATTGTATACATATAAAAATAAATTGTAAAAATCTTAAAATTTTATGTACAAATCAATTATAAAAATTTAATATAGAACCAATCTTTAATAAGAATTGTAAATAATGTATATAATATTTAAAAATTGTAAAAATGTTGTTCACAATATCAAGTCTTTTCAAAGTAAAAAAAATCAATACTTTTATCAGTTAATTCTGAAAATAACAATTTACTTTGGTAAACTTGTTTTAATATGATTGATTGATTGATTGAAAGTTACTTTGTAAAAAGATTTGATCAAAATTATCCGTACATATGCTTGTACAAAGCTGAGTTCTGGTTCTTAATAATTAGAAGTTTATTTATTTCTTCTCTTTGTTCTTTCGTTAATATTGGATTGTATTCCTTTTTTAATTTTTCATTTAAACATTTGTGTTCACATAATGGGCTTGGTGTGTATTTTTCGATTGACTTTGCATGTGGCATTTTCCACAAGCATTTAGTATCAATACAAGATACTAAATCCAAGTCATTAACATCCATCCTAAAAAAGAAAAATTATTTTCAGTATGGATGGAAAACAACAATTGCAAATAAGTGTTTAAATAATGTCAATACTGTCATGCTACTTTAATTCTAAAACAGATACTATAATATTACTGTGACGTGACGCTTTTGAGCTCCATCACAGTGACTCTGTCGAGGGAAGAAAGCGAGCGCGGTCGTCTCTCGCGCCTGAGGGGGAACTATAAAATTCTGTTAAGATTTATTTTAGCATAGATTTAAGGTTCGTGCGTAGAGTGCGGCGACCTGTGCGAGCGTGCGATACCGCAATGTGTATGGAGATCCCGAAGATATCGCAAAGAAGAGACGAAGAATGGACCGAGGCTCCCGCAAAACAGGTCATGTATCGAGATCCCGCGTCGCCGCTAGTCGTACATCGGAGCAATATTAATCCCGAAAATTTTCAGAATAATGACGGCAGAGAATCCTGACGGACAACCACCCCCAGGCTGCAGACTGGGAGAAGGAAGTATTTCCGAAAACGGATAAGGACAGCTGCCTGGCCAGCCTGCCGAGTCCGAGCTGAGAAGTCAATACCGCTGAGATACCGTCATCTTCGATTCTGGATCCCTATGTAAGGGCAACTCCGTCAAGTAACTCCAATTTTGAAGGGGGCGGAGAAACGACCTCCTTTTTGGCGAAAATCGACGAGATGCGCAAAAAATCAGCGCGGAACTCGAGGGTCTCGCGGACCCATTCCGTTACTGTCACTGTTCGGTGAGTCTTAATAGAGTGCAGTTAGTTCTGCGAACCGAGAGGAGACGACCCAACGAGGAAGCCGCCACCAAAGAATTGTAAGCCGCCGCACAGGTAGCCACACGATTTTCTCCCGGGAGCAGCTGGCGTCACACAAAATTCTGTATATCGTCGCAGGGCGACAATTATCGTACCGTTGTATTACAGAAAGCCTGTGTGATTTTTTCGCGTTTAGTTACCGGACGCTAGCTGACACCGGGTGTCGCGGATTTATCCCTCTCAGGGGGTTCATGCCGACAGTCGCTTATCGTACTGTATATCTCGTACCGTACCGTATAGTATCGTTCCGTACCGTTTTCGTACCGTCTTTCGTTCTACCGTTACGTTTCGTACCGAATTGTGAGTCTCAGCGTGATGAAATTCCGGCCGTTCCGTTTAACGTAAAGAAAATCGGGATTTGCGCGAGAACTTTCTTTGTGAGCAAAAGGTACCGAATATGTGAAATCTGCTCGGCAAGAACAGTATATATCGCGAAATCTCCGTCTAAATTTATGACCGTTAACGTTCGTTTTGAAATTATCTCGTTTGAGAGTCAAGTTTATTTTCCCCGAGTGCGAAAGGTCGAGATAAGACCATTAAAGAGTGCGAGACAATACTCGTACTTGAAATTACCGTTAATAATAACCTTTGTTATATATTGAATGTATTGTCGAAAATTATCGCCGACTATTATAAGAAAATTGATTCGATTTATATCGAAATATTTTATGAGGCACAAGCCACATTGCGTAAGAAAAAAATATGTAATTTGCAATTAACAATTACATTTTTTTTTTTAAAACAACTATGTTTTTTCTTTACATCAATTGATTTCTCTCATTATTTTGTACATAAAATTATTAAGGTAAGATAATCGAAAAATGAATATTTCACAAGATATTTTACGGTTTATGTAAAATTAAGAAATGATTTCAAGCCTCATAACTCGAAAAGTACTCAATGAAGAAATACTTTATTATAGTGTTTTGGAAAGCTCTCGAGGTCAGCTATAAGAATATACAATCAAAAATAGGAGTTTCCATTTGAAAACTTTTAATTGATTTTTCCGTGTCCTTAACAACACTATCCAAGGTCACACTAACTGCTATGTAATGCGCCCCTTAAAGTCCTACAACTTTTGTTCGGAACATTTTTCAAGTAAATGCGTATTTTTCGAAATACCAGCCTGATACGATCGCTCTGATACACCCTGTATATATATATATATATATATATATATATATATATATATATAACGATTAAATATATAACGATTGAATATATAATGATTTAATGCGTAACGATCTGTAAAAACGACCTGTAAGAACGACCTGTAAGAACGACCTGTGAAACGACCTGTAAACGATCTGTGAAACGACCTATAAAAAAGAAGTGGCAAAAGAAAACTCATATACTCAAACCGACGCGTTCGTTTGTTTCGCGTATACGCGACAATTTTTATTCTTAGAAGAATTTAATAATTTTAAATTTCAATATGACCTTTGAAATGACCTGTAAAACGACCTGTATATTAAATACAGCGGTGTTATGCAGGAAGCATAAGAACTGTGAGGGTAACACTCGCTACATGCCATCATATGGAAGTTGTAGAACCTATATATACATTGAATACAGCGATGGTATTCAGGAAGCGTAAGAACCGTGAGGACAACACTCGCTACATGCAATCATATACAGGGTCTACCAAAAGTGTGGAAACCCCTAAATATCTCGGAAAATATACGTTTTACAGAAAAGTGTTTCCAACAAAAGTTGTAGGGTTTAAGAAGATCTATATACTGATTCTATCAGTTTGACCTTGGATGGCGTCGTCAAGGTCAGGTCAAGGTCACATTGACTTTTTTAAATGACACCCCCTACATTTGATTGCATATTCTTATAGCTTAATTCAAGAGCTTTCCAAAACACTATAATAATGTTCATTTTTATTAAGTACTTTGCGAGTTATGAGGGTTGAATGATAGAGTAGCGCCGGTATTAACATTATCCAAGGTGTACTACATGGAGGTTACTCGCTCGGATTTGCATCTGTTGTGTGTGTGATCCAGCTAACTAAGGCAAGATCGATTCCTCAACATATCCTCATATTTCGCTGAAGTCAAATTGCCAAAAAATTGCTCCATAAAACGTGTATGAAACGTCTCGTTAGTTCCTTCATTTACCGCTATGTGACGCACTACATGCAGTCTAACTCGCATTTAAAATTCAACTAAGAATGTATAAAGCTATCAAAGAACGAGCACCTTCTAACTTCAGCTTTGAGCAAGCAGAAATTAATTGTTATCGTCCAAATACAACGTACGATTAATTAAAATTAAACGTTTTAAAAATGGCTGGCGACTTGTCGGAACGTGAAAGAATCACTATCCTCATGATGCGTGGATGGGGTGATAACGAAAGATCGTTCTCTGATGTCGTTCGATTATTTAATGACACGTATCCGAACCGTCGAATTAATAAGTCCACTGTGTTAAAAACAATAGAACGTTTTAGACAAACTGGTAGCGTAAGAAATCGCTCTAAGTCAGGAAGACCATTGTCTGCAACCAACGAAGAAAAACAACTTGATGTTCTGCAGACATTTATTGAAGATCCCAATTCTAGTGTTCAGAGAGTCGCTCAAACTCACGATATTGCTCCCATGTCGGTTTGGAGAATTTTAAAGAAGAACAAGTTCCATCCATATAAATTGCAATACGTTCAAGAATTGCAAAACGGAGATGAGGAGCGTCGTATACATTTCTGTGAAAGAATGATGGCACTAATAGATGTCCGGCCCATCTTCCCTTATCAAATTGTTTTCACAGACGAGGCAACTTTTACCTTAACGGGAGAAGTTAATAATCAAAATTTTCGTTTCTGGTCAGATGAGAATCCGAATTGGGTGCGGGAAACTCACACACAACATCCACAAAAAATAAATGTATGGTGCGGAATAATAGATGGCTATTTAATAGGGCCGTTTTTTTTTGAAGAATATTTGAACGCTCAAAGGTATGAGAGATTACTTGTTGATCAAATAATTCCAGCCATACAGAATACTTTTCCAAATAATTTCCAAGAAATATGGTTTCAGCATGATGGAGCTCCTGCTCATTTTGGTGCAGGACCACGTCGTATTTTAAATGAGACTTTTCCGCTACGGTGGATAGGAAGAAGGAACGGAAATGAGGGAGGAGAGGATTGGCCACCTCGGTCACCAGATCTAACTCCTCTTGATTATTATCTATGGGGATATTTGAAATGAAGCTTATGAAATTAAACATGTGCCGTTTTGTTCGACCACCTTTTGCCATCTTTGAGGTAAAACCATAATCCCGTCACTGTAGAACTTGTGTGATTTCTGGGCGAAAAACTGTGACAAGTGATTTTCACAGGTCTCTCTTGAAGCCAACTTCGTACCATTAAGAGAGTTCTGTAGAGATCGAAATAAATGGTAGTCTGATGGTGCAAGGTCAGGACTATAAGGTGGGTGCATCAAAACTTCCCAGCTAAGTTCTCTTAATTTTTGACGAGTCGCTATAGATACATGAGGTCTCGCGTTGTCGTGGTGAAAGACGACGCCTTTCCTATTGATCAATTCTGGTCGCGTTTTCTCAATTGCCTGGCGTAATCTTTCCAGTTGTTGACAGTAAAGGTTAGAATCAATTGTTTGACCGGACGGCAGCAGCTCGTAGTGAACGATTCCTTTGTAATCCCACCACACACTCAGCATCACTTTTCTTGGCGTCAATTTTGGCTTTGCCACAGTTTGCGGAACTTCATTTCGCTTTGTCTACGATCTTTTTCGTACATTATTGTCATACGTGATCCATTTTTCATCGCCTATTATGAGCCGTTTCAAAAATGGTTCGATGTCGTTTCGTTTTAACAATGATTCGCAGATAGAAAATCGATCCATTAAATTTTTGACTGTTAAATCATGTGGCACCCAAACATCGAGCTTTTTTTTGTATCCAGCTTTCTGCAAATGGTTTAAAACTGTTTTGTGGTCGATGTTCAGTTGCTTACCGATTTCGTGACTGCTAATATGCCGGTCTTGTTCAATTATTTCCATAATTTCATCGACTTTTTCAGTGATCGGTCGACCAGAGCGAGGTGCATCTTTGACGTTAAAATTTCCAGATTGAAAACGCTTGAACCAGCTTTGTGCAACACGTATTGATACAGCATCATGTCCATAAACATCACAAATTTTTTTAGCTGCCTGAGTTGCATTCTTCCCTTTTTTAAAATAAAATTTTAAAATGTATCGAATTTCTTCTTTCTCTTCACTCATTTTCAAGATGCAATAACTTTTAACTGAATAGATAAATATCACTACTTTTTTGCTACTTTTTCTTTATGATATGTCACCTTTCAAACGCACACAAAGTATTGACAGATCCGATTAATATTATCAAGGTTATGCGATTCTAATTCTATCTGCCGGAAAATACGAAGAAACTTTTTCCCCAACCCAATATATATATATATATATATATATATATATATATATATATTTTACAAGTTAAATATAAATATATATAATATATTAATTATATATATATATATATATATATATATATTTTACAAGTTAAATATAAATATATATAATATATTAATTATATATATATATATATATATATATATATAATATATATACTTATTCTATATATATTTTTATATAATTTGCTTATATAAAAGAATATACATATATATATATATATATATATATATATATATATACATACTATTTTTAATATAATATCTCTTAGCAAATTAGACTAAAAAAAGAAGCGATATAATCCCCAAAAACTTATCTTTTTAAAAAAAGGTAAAAAAAGGGCGCCAAGTTCATGCACTAATTGTATCCAACTGTCATATTGTCTACAAAAATAGTGATATAAAAAAATTGCACAAACTAAGAATAAAAATTTGTACAAGATAAATAGAAGTACAAGGAAGAAAACTTGTACAAGTTAAATAGAAATATTTTAATTGAAAACATTGTTATACAAAATAGTTGCTTTAATTTTCAAAAATAATAATATTAAAAAATTAAAAATTTATTTAAAAATTGGAAACTGAAAATTAATATAAAACAAGAAAGTAAAAAAAATTTTAATTAAAAAAACTTGGCGCAGTCAATAAAATTGGCATATATTCCAATTAAATATATATTTAACAGCAAATATAATTGCTGGACATTTATTATTAATTCTCTTAAGATCTTCTGAAAGTATTAAGGTAAGATAATCGAAAAATGAATATTTTATAAGATATTTTATGGTTTATGTAAAATTAAGAAACGATTTTAAGCCTCATATCTCGAAAAGTACTTCATGGAAAAATAATTTGAAAGGAGAAAAAATATGTAATTACTAATTGCAAATTACATATTTTTTCGAAATAATTATGTTTTCTTTACACCAATTGATTCCTTTCATTATTTTGTACATAAAAGTATTAAGGTAAGATAAACAAAAAATGAATATTTTATAAGATATTTTACGATTTATGTAAAACTAAGAAATGATTTCAAGCCTCATAACTCGAGAAGTAGTTGATGAAAACTAACTTAATTATAGTATTTTGGAAAGCTCTAGAGATGAGCTACAAGAATATGCAAAAGCATATAGGATGTCCCATTTAAAAAGTTGGAGATGACCTTCAGGTGACTCTTCAAGGTCAAACTAATGGCAC